TTTTCTTTCACTTTTTTCTCCACCTCTCTCTCTCAAACATACCCTTTCTCCTTCTTTCTTCATCTCTCTCTTTATCTTTTGCTCTCTCTCTCTCTGTGGGTGTTTGGATTTAGCGAAACATACCGAATCCATTTTAATTCATGGTGTGTCCTGGGTAATTATAAGTAATAGATAACAGCAAATGGTATATTAATAATTAAACAAGATAAACAAAGTAGGTCATTCACTTGTAAAACGTTTACCTCCTAACTTAATGATTTCACGAGAAAAACCACACCATCAAACAAGAGAAATTTATATTTAAATATTGAGGATTTACTATGGATAATCAAAGCAAGTATTCAAAGTTATTGACGAAGACAACGTTGAAGTCGATGATGATGTCAGTGATGATAATGATGACAGCAATGTTGTCGGTGGCGATGGTGATGAAGCAGTCAAATAACGATTTCAGTGATGATGTTGATGATGATGAAGATGATGACGATTTCCCTTTCAAAGTGGTTGGTACCTTTTGCAAAAATGTTTTTGGGAGGAACTATATCAACCATTAGATTTCAAATCATACGGTCTAATTGTTTCAGACCACAGTACTGCATGGGTGTACGTTTCGTTCAGAGAAACTAAAGGGTGAACCAATTCCATATCGGTCATTTAATTAATTGGATTAAAAGTAAATGGGGAGCATCTCCAAAAAAAGGGAAATTTTTCATTTCATTAATAGAGTATCTGTTCTTCCTATTAATAAAATACAGGGCTTGATCTCCACCAAGACTCCTGATGTAGACATGAGTCCTATCAATTGCACCTAGAAAACCTGGCAACCTGCAGTATTGGTAGAACTGCTGCTGTGTTGCTTCTACTTCTTCTCTTGATGTTGGGAACTTCATGAATTGTTTCCTTCTTCTTGCAAACACTTCTGACACGTCTTTGATGACTCTGCATACAGAAGACTGTGAAAGTTGTGCCTCATCACCATGCATCTTTTGGAATGATGCTGTAAAAAAAAAAAAATCCTTTCAGTGAAATATCAACTAGTACAATTTCTTACAAGTTACATGGCCAGATCAAATTCTCAAACTGAGAAATGTTTAATGTCCTTACAATTGTAGAATAGATTTTTTATTACATCAGGGCTGTCAACCCTCTTGCATTTAGAGGTAGTCTCACGCCACCACGCCATTCCTCCCGCTTTGATGTAGAATCTCCCGATTTATGAAAAAACCTCCCGCAAAACATGGTAACCGCAATTTTACCCTTTTACTTTTTCGCTCAGCCCAGATTAAATAGAAATTTACTAAATACTAAATAAGGTAAATTACTCACCAACAGCATAGAATCGAAGTGCTGTCACTACCTGCATAGGTATTGGGTCGTTTCTGTCTGTCGTCCTCCTCAGCTCTTCATCCACCAAGTTGATGAGGTAGAGCGCTGCCTCTTTGGAAAACCAGTACCTGGTCCGAAATGACTCATCATCATACACTTCAAAAGGGTTCATGGGTCACAAAGGCCTCTCTGAGGTCTGCCTATCAACTCTCTGTTCCAATCAAGCTGGCGGAGATGGTGAATATATTCAGCCATGCTGTCTCTGTCACAACAAAATAGAAAAAAAGTGAATTAAAATTAGAACATGAAATGAAAAAATATCATTCATTGTTTATCAAATAAATCCTATGATATTACATGTTTTGCATTCTTTGTATTGTAGACAATCTGATTTTGAATAGCTTTTGCAAACTCTAAAAAAAATATTAACGATACTTTGATTGCATTAAAGAAATGAGTGCTATTGATTCATACTATTGGGTAATTAGGAAAGATGATGTCACTGAACCTCCATAAGAACGTAGGGGCCAATTCCTGTCATGTTTTGTTAAAAATCTACTCATGCTTGATAAAATGTGAAATTAGATACATGTAAATTAGCATTAGATGTCCCATGTGAAAGGTTGATTTTTTTGACTAAGATTACATGTAGATTAGGAAGAACACACATTGATTTATTGGCTACTTGCTTGCACAGATTTTAAACTTGCTTCAAAATTCAAGTACAACAATGTATTGATGTAGACTCTAGGCCTAGACATGATCATGATGTAGTATAAATTTGTAGGAGTTGAGTGTAGAATCTAGAGACATTCGACAGTCAGTACAGTCTAGTCTAGATCTAGATCTAGATGGGCCTAAAGACAAAGTACCTCTCATTCAGCTCAGACTTGTGCTCGAATCGAACTCAGTGACGGTGAGACACATGAATTTATGAAAAGTAGACTAGGTTTAGAGAGACTGTCTAGATCTAGACCACATAGACTAGATCTAGATTCTAGATCTAGAGGTAGTAGACCTAGAGCCTGAGGTCTAGGCCTATACCGGTAGACCCTACGGCCTAGAATCTAGGTCTACTAGTTCTAGATCTAGAAAGTCTAGAGTAGATCTACTAGACTAGACCTAGTAGACTAGATCTAGGTCTAGACCCTAGGTCTATTTTGAAAAATATTTTATTCCATTTCAATTTCTAAATCTAGAATAGATCTAGAGGTCTAGACTAGATCTAGGTCTAGATTCTAGACCTAGGTCTAGTCTAACTTACTTAGATCTAGATCTGCATCTTTTACAATAATTTACAAAATACTTTTAATAAATTCATGCCATGGTTTGGCGTGCTTGACTAATTTCTTGAGAATGAGGACTAGATCTAGATCTAGATAGATCTAGAATCTAGGCCTAGACCTAGATCTAGGTCTATCATCATCTAGCCTAGGCCCACGTCGTGTTTGCGTGTCTCACTGCCACCGACTTCGAGCTCAAGCTCAAGTCTTATTCAGTCAGTACTGAGTGTCAGTGTAGGCCTAGATCTAGTAGTACTAGAGTCTAGATCTAGGTCTAGACCAGGCCTCTGTATATAGAGGTCTAGTAGGCCTAGACTAGACTATAGTAAAATCCATCAGCGTGGAAGAATTTTCATTTTCATTTCGGCATTTTTCGTTCTCCTCCGTTTAATAGTCAGATGAGAAGCAGCATCAGAACTTAGAGCAGAAAATACAAATGGAACTGTCGCTACCCCCCCCCCCCCCCCCGAGGCCAGGAATGTCTCAAATGTCATGATTAACATATTTTTCTTCCCGAATCACACAATTGTGTGATGATATAGACCTAACTAATTTCGTATTGTTAGCTGGCACATTCGCAGTTATTGCGAAATTGCCTTGCCTCGCAGGATTACATAAACAACGTACACAACGCAAATACACACGCATGGGTCCGAGCTGCGTAAGGTTCTGCGACAATGTTCGCAAAGGCTGTGCAACTTACGATGAAGATTATTATTCGTGCACTTTTTACGCACATAAAACATGTTTAATTGGGCTTCCATTGTAGCAGAACAGAGAATATGGTACAAATATGTTGTGAATAACTAAAAATACTTACAATGTAGGATATCAAAGTTGAAAAAACAGCAACTTTGTGAAGGTCTCTTCACTTTGTTTCACCACAAATTTGTCAACAAAATTTGTACGATCGTCTGCGCTAAAAAGCCAAAGCTCGCTGGTATGACGTCATATGACGCGTTAAACCGTGGGTTAGATTTAGTCCGCTGTTTTAAACCACCCTTCTGAGCAGGTTAAAAATATGACGTAATATGACGCGATTTAGCCTGGGTTAAATCTAAACTTCCTTTGTGAATACCAAAATAATGACCCATGGTCTAAAGCTCGGGGTTATGACGTATTATGACGCGATTAAGCCTGGGTTAAATCTAAACCTCCTTTGTGAATTCGGGCCAGAGAGTTTAGAGTGGACAGAAGAGAGAAGAAACAATGCTCACCATGGGGGTGGAAAGGGGGATTGGTAGGATGAAAGTGATAATATAGTATACAAATAATGCACAGGTTTGAGTGCGTACATCGGTAGGAATCGTGTGCACAAGGTACCTTTGAATGGTTTTAGACCAAATTCAAAGGTACTGCGTGCACACAATTCCACCCACCCACAAATTAATCCTGTGCATCATCTGTTTTATAAGATGGGGCCCCAAAAATCGTCAAAAATACAAAAATTTGTTATTATACAGATTTACTGGATGCATGGCAAAATATTGCTTTCCGGTAATTACCGGAAAGCATGATTTTTAAATTTGCATAATTTGTCTGTTATTAGTGCAATGGATTAAGACAAATAATGACTTAGGCCTAACTGACCTTAACATGAAACCTTAACAAAAGAAAGTCATTAAATCAATAAAAACTTATTTTGCAAGCTTTTTTGAGTTTTGGGGAGGTGCAATCTAAATTAGAAGAGGTCTGGATCTTGTCCATATCAAGTACAGAAATTGAGGCTTTATGTGTGGTGCTTCCCGGCCCCTCTCGCTTCAGTTTCACCAACACAGCCTTAAACATACGTGTGCTCTCGAGAAATTGAAATTTGTTACTAATATCTAATATCTGATATTACTTATTACTGATATCTAAAGTACAGTGATCCAAATAAAGTGGCGTTGTATGCAACAGCGATGGTACTAAAGACAGTCTAGGTTTACAACTCACCGTCAGTCTATATGTACAGAAGCATAGAACTTAGTTTAGAATGATAACAGTTTGTCCAATTCTGGCGTAAAAATGTCTCCTGAATTGACGTTCTTGATCTGTGCAAACTTTTCCAACTTTGAGAATCCATACTTTATTTGAACTTTTCATGCTAGCCGCATCTGAATCATCCAACAATTTTGATAATTCTTCTTCTTACAGAAGCTTGAAAATCAAATGGCTGCCGCGATTTCGCCATCTAAATCTTGTTTAGGTTTTTTTTTCCATAGTGGAGAAGCGAGAAAATGCAAACAATCGGGATATCGGAGTTATCGATTCCAATTTCGCACATATCGTGTTGATATCTCGTGCATCTAGTATAAATAACTGAACGCTAATTGACCGATCAGATTGCAGGGATTCTTCTAACCGTCTTATAATATTTAATTATGTTTCAATGATTTATTTCAATACCAGGTACTACTGGGAGAAGGACGGTTCTTTATTTGATGTGGACAGCAATGATCACGCTAGCCTGGATGGGGGGAACCTAGTGATCGAATCATTAACAACAGCAGACGATGGACAGTACCAATGTTTTGCTAAGAACAGGCTTGGTACAGCAATGTCCCAGAAGATTAGGACATCATTGGCATGTAAGTTGATGCCTTCATTGTTAGCATAGTGTCGTATGGAACGAATGAATATAAGTCCTAGTACTGTAAAGCTGTTTTCGCAGGATTCATTTTTAGCGCTGAGCAACCCAAAAACATATTCTCAGGCTCTTAAATTTGCGTTGCACACTTCACTCTATTATTTTCATTCATATCGGTGCATTTGTACAAGTATTGCATGCAATTCAGTCTGTTCAAAACATGCATAAGAAATCATGCTTATATTTTTGCGAGTTCTAAAATTTGTGCTTTTTGATGTTAGCGCGAAATATGCAAACATTAATTTACCACAAAATATTTCTACTTTTACAGTAAGTTTTTAATTGAAAAATCTATTGGTGAAGCCCATCATCAAGTGTCATTCATGTTCTGGTTCACAAAATTGATGTCATTATACTCTATGAAATAGAGAATTGGGATGTTAGGATTATTATAGATCTAGGATCATTGGTCAGTTTTGACTTAGAGTACCAAGTTATAAAACCTACATGTTTCTGTTGTCTCCGTTTTGATCTCCAGTCATGGAACAGTTTGAGAACACTGCACCTGCAATGGTACAATTGAGCCAGGGACAACCCCTGAAGCTCCGTTGTGGTGGATCCCCCGGTGTCCCTAATGGCAATCCTGCTCCCATGATTTACTGGACCGATGCAGCTCCCAAACCCACACCCATCACATACAATGCACGGATTAACCAGGATCCACAAGGGAACCTGATTTTTTCAAACGTTATTGCAAGCGACGCTAAAGGCTACTACTGTCTAGCCATCAATAACGTTGTAGGGTTGTTTCAGAGGTCACCAAAAATCACGCTGAGTGTAATAGGTAGGTGTAGCAGTTGATACCTATTAACATAGACACTGTCAAACCAGAAACTTTTGCACGCATGAATTCTTTTTGTGAATTTCAGGAGTGGTTAAGTTCGCCAAAGATTTTGTGTCATGGTACCATAATAGACACAACACTAAATATTTACAATTTGGTAAAATTGCTTGCTGTATGAATGGCTGTTGTTTACAGTCCACAAATGTTTATGGTTTTAGAGTACCTGGTAATACAAAAAGAGGCTAAGATTTAGATTTACAACCCTCCTGTCTTGTATATGCCTGTTATTCCATTAAAATGCATTTCTTTCCTTGTGTTATCTTCTTCAATTCATATTACTTAATTGTTCGTAGATAACCGTCCCCCTCTCTCTATTAAAAAAAAAATCCATACATTCTGCATTATCCTTTTCCTTCTGCTTCTTCTCGGTCTTTGCTATCATTTACTGGACTGAAGTATATTAAGATAAATCGATAATTCAAGGATTTCGATAAGTTCCAAATTCATATTGACTGTAGATGAAAATCCTGCACCACTTATTCCCTCTATTTTAAAAATATGAATGCAATTTTGATTATGATTCGCTGTAATTCAAGAACAAGTCATATACCTGTAACTATTAATTTGGAATGTTTTCTAACTACCGGTAGTAGGTTATGTTAGATGTATAGTTAAAGGGATAGTTTGTTTTGTGAGATGATGAAAAACTGAGTGTCAAATTTGAAAGAATACACAATTTAAATGATAAAAACATTTTGTTTGAACCAAATTGGTTCAGAGACGGCTGAAATATCCATAAGTATAACCATTTCTAATATTTGTAGGGCCCCACAAATATTCGGTAATTTTGAACCCGCCGTTGAAAAGCAAGATAGCACCTTATATGTTCTATTCCAGCCAATGCCAATATTAGCTTTTTGTTGGCTTTTTCATACAAGATACAAGATACAAGATATTTTATTTGGTCTTTGCAAACAAGTTACATAGAAAATTGTTTTCCACTGGCGTTACAGTCATATTCAACAAAATACATAATTACAAGAAATAAATACTTCACGTTTATAGAATGAAATAGATGAAATAAGGAACAAATACATGCAAAAGATAATGAAGCGACAAAAATGGTCATTGGTACATGTTGGTTATAATAAGCACAACCAGCTAGCCCGTGTATTTACCACAATAGATGTTTCTACCTATTATTTGCTAGTTTTATCTAAACTATGCAGCCATCGAGAACTAAAACGTCACATTTGCGCAAGCCCCACCCCAATACATCGCCCAGGGTTCATGTGCGCAACCGAACGCCCCCAATTTTCCTCTTTCTATTCTATTTACGCCGAGAGAACTCATCTACAGCTAAGTCACTGTTGAAACTTGAGGATTTGTTGTCCTTTTTGGCACGGCTTAGTTAGTTTTGCGCATTTAATTACGTCCTCATTTTAATTACGATTAATTTAGTGGTACAGGTTCCCATTTGATATTTAAGGCAGAAGTAGCCAGGGGCATTATGTTTACGGGTTGTCCGTCAGTATAGGTCCATCTGTACATCTTGTTCTAGTGATCGCGTTATCACAAGAACCAAGTGATCTATTTCTGCCAAACTTGAATCATGTATGTATCTTGCAGAGCTAATGAACTGAAGAGATTTTGGGTCTCAAGGTCAAAGGTCACAGGGCTCATTATGTATGCAAAAATAACTTGTGATCACATTATCATAGAAGAGATGGATGGATTATAATCAAACTCAAGACATGTATGTATCTTGCAAATTAGCCAATGAACTGATTAGATTTTGGGGGTCCTGAGGTCAAAGGTCAAATGTCATGGGGGTCATTTAAGTCAGGATATTCTGAAAACCTGTTAATGGATTAGAATCAAACTTGAATTCTAAAATTGCTTCTGTTTTGGTTTGTAAAATTGCTCTATGATGGAGGCATCATTTTCGACTGCATGCAGTTGCAGATCGATCTATTTTTTGGGGATCCCTTCCAGTTACTCTGTAAATCACTCAATTGGGCTGGAGTGGAGTCAAGTCTTAACCATCGTGCATTATTTGCCTTCAATTTTCAATGTGCATATCATTCTAGTCTTCATTGTAAGAATGCATCTTAATCAGGGAATAATAATGAACATATTTTCTTTTATAATTGGAACAAAATTATACCAAGATATACATGTAGCATTTGGATATTGATTTGTTTTCTTGCATAAGAATACTTTGGTATTAGTAGAAGTAGTAGTAGTAGTACTACCGGTAGAAGTAGTATTAGTAGTAGTAGTAGTAGTAGTAGTATAGTACATAGTTATATATGTAGTAGTAGTATAAACAATACCACCACCTCCATCATCATTATCATCATTATTATCATCACAAAAAACACCAATATGATTTATCAGAGGAAGAAAAGTAGTAGCGTAAGCACAAGAACAAAGGTTCATATGGTCTATATCCAAGTTGATGTACTAGTGGCTCTTTGGAAGGCATTGATCTTCAACCACCCAGTCCCTTGGATAGGATTTGAAGCAGTGGGTTCATGAGTTCCTCATTTACAAGCTTCAATTTGCTTTTAGATGACTAACCAATCATCAACATTTTTGTGTTAAAGTATGACTAAACTTGTTTATGATTAACTGTATAATTTCAGATTTGCCAGCAGTGGCAAGTGCAGCCCACTTAGACAGTCACCCAGCAGCAAGCGAAGTTGCCATTAGAACTCAGTCATTTAAGCTGAAATGCATTGCTTTTGGATAGTAAGTATGTTTTAAGGTTAACCCTCTATTCCCTCTCTCTCTCTCTCTCTATCTTTTCTTATTGCATTACTTTAGTTGAAGACAAATTTCTCCTGTCCTAAATTTTTTTCAACTGAACTTTTCCATAATGGAGATATATTTTTTCCTTACTTTTCTTGCATATACTTGTATCTTCTTTTTGAAAAATATTTGTACAAATTCTTTAAAAGATCCAACTGTAATGGCTTTAAAAAATATTGTGTAGGGCATAACATGGTGAATAGACCATTTTTGTAATGTAATCAAATTTAAAGCACAAATCTTTCATTTTACAAATTCGTGAATTCACCTGTTTGTAGTAATTGTATTTCAATAGTCGGCATGCAAATTGCACACATTACGTGTTGTTAGGTAGGACAAGCCATAATGTTTGTCCTAACAAGGCACTATTAACAAAGATTTTTTAACTAATTTTGATTACATAACAAAATTGGCCTATTGCATGAAAATATCTCTGTCTTTTCCTCTCTCTTTCTCCCTTTCTCCCTTTCCCCCTTTCTCCAGCCCAACCCCTGTAATCACATGGAAGCAAGGAGAGGAGCAGCTACAGTCTGGAGGACGAGTATCTATTGAAGAATCCGGGCAGGCGCTGGTCATCTCCGCTGTTGAGATCAGTGACGAGGGAACGTATACATGTGTTGCATCAAACACAGGAGGGGATGATGAATTCAGCACAATAGTTACTGTGGAATGTAAGTTGAAAGTCAAATAATGATGTAAACAAGAAAAAAATCCATGCCTGCAAATGCTTAGTTTAATACTGTATCCTGTCAATAGTAACAACATCTGTGCTTTAATAAAGTCTTACTCTGTCAAATGAATAAGGTACAATGTTAAGTAGTTGTGTATTGAGACCTTTTGTAGGAGTCCATTTCATTTTCTTCTACTATGTTATAAATTGAACCAATTGTTAATGTGGTGTACGTGGGATATATATAATTTTGTAGGCTATTGACCTTCAGGATATAAGTATACAACGATACCATACAATACAGTTATTGAAGTTAATATTTCTCTTTTATAAAACAAATTGAAATAGACTAAGTTCATAGTGATTCATTTCACATACTTTTCTCTTCCTTTTCATTTATTTAGCTTCACCATATTTCCTAGCCCCACCCTCCAATGAAACCAAGGGACCTGGTGAATCAGTGGACATTGAATGCCGTTCTGAGGGTGTTCCACCGCCCACTGTTGAATGGCTTGTTAATGGACAAACTTGGGCTGATTTTGAATGTAAGATCAGCTATAGGGCATTTTCATTTCAGTGTTGAACTCGGAGGACTTCCTCTGTTCTAGCTGCAGTCATATTTATTATTAATGTAAAAAGAACAGTTTGTCTGTTCAGATACAGAAGGGCGTTATTTTAAAGTATATGAGTTAACACCCTTCTAGCTTCAAAGAGATGAATTCATCCTATTTTGTATGATACAACTTATGTTATGAAATTGAAAGTTAAGAATTGACTGAAGTTACAATAATAAGTATAGGTAGCAAAGTACCAGTAGTACTGGTACTACAGGGGAACAGACCTGTTAGTAGAATTAGCAGTAATAGTACGAATTGTGGAATTTGTGTAGTAGGATGACAATGTGAAAGTGAAGTCAACTAATTTTTTTAATTTTTTTTTTAATAAAAGCTCATTTACAGTTTTGATAGCAGAAAGAAAATTGGAGTGAAATGTGTAACATATAGTATATATGTTCTCCTTGTATCACAAGTGATATGTCCGATTTTTATTTGATATTCCATCCATTATTTGTAGTAAACTTCAATATAAATATTCAGAAGGAATGCTAGATCACAGCTAAATACTACCCTTCACTAGAACCCTACCAACCTGATGGCTGCCTGCACAACAATCTCAGCATTTCAAGTGAAGATGGCATGTGTGTGGCAGACACACAATCCTCATAATTGCCTAGTGCAAATTGACATTGTTTTAATTTATGTGCCAGGCCAGGTGTATAAACTATGTCTTCCGTCTTATTAGTTGAATATTTCTCTTGAGGAAAAACTTGATAGCAGCATAGTATTACAAGTATCTTGCTAATTGTCATCTGAAATCAAAGAAATCTTATGAAATTTTTCTGAAGCCTTACCAAAACTTTATGAATAAGACCTTTAAATCTGAACTTTCGGTTGTTTAGAAATATTTTCTTTCTCCTTTGACAGCCAACATAGATACAGAAAGATGGACTGTGGTGACTGGAGACCCCCAGTTAGCAACCATAGCTATCACAAACCTACATACAACAGACAGCAATTTGTTCCAGTGTATATCTACCAACAAGTACAAAGAGGAACTCGCCAGTGTTGTACTCAATGTAGTCTGTGAGTATACATTTGTACCTTGGTCACTTTGAAATCTGCCCCAAATTCTTAACAAGAATATATTGCAGGTTTTCACAAGGCATGTCTAAGACTTCACCTGAGTGATTTCAGATCAATCAATCACTCAGTTATTTCATTGTTTCTCTGGCCTTTTAGGCAATTCTATTTGATGGTCCATGATGGAAGAAATTTGTTGATTTGGTATAGACTAGATTTGTTGCTAATGAGCTGTATTCACTTATTTTTATTGAGAGAGAGAGAGATACAAATTTTGAGAGTCTACTGAATGGCTCAATGGCTCAGTGGTAATTAAAGCAGTGGTCTCATAACCAAGAGGTCCTAGTTCAATCCAAGTTGATGCGCTTGTGCCCTTTGGTAGGCCATCGATCCTCATTATCAATTACCTCAGGGAGGACTGAAAGCCATCGTTCCCCAGGCTACTTCCTTACAAGCATATATTGTTAGCCTTGCACTCTTATTTTTGGTGAGTAAATTTAATAAATAGGGAGTCAAGTGATAGTTGTATATTGTAATATGTTACTAACATTGTGTATTGATATCTCTGACATGACTTTGCTGTCTACCCCTAGCTTTCCCTGCTAGGATAACTAGTTTCACGCCTCTGACAAGGAGACTAAGTGTTGTAGAGGATGACTCTGCCAAGTTCATCTGCCATTCTAAAGGAAGACCTGATCCAACCATAACATGGACCTTCAAGGGATCAGTGGTAAGCAGGCTGCTCAACATTCTTAACACTCTTGTTGTTTTGTTCGCATCCCTGCACACTGCATTCATATCAGTTATCAGCATAAAGAATGAGAGCATTCATGTTTGCATTGATGCTAGATTTGTGAAAAGAAAATGTGACCTTTCTCCGTTTTTGTTCCTGTGGATTTTGTTGTGGCTTTAAAGTACATAATCTTGACCCTGATGAGTGTGAAAATATTCAATTCTAATGAAAATCAGTCACTATGAAGAAGAAGCACTCTCAGCTGTACTGTTGCAGTACCATGAGTTCTGTTGCCAGAAGGTATATAATATTGACCCAGATGAGTGTGACTTTATTCAATCTAATTCAGTCTAATAAAATGTCAACAGAGGGTCAATATTATATACTCTATGGTGACAGAGCACCGGCATGTGGAGGCCCTAAACTGTGGAATGCTATTTCAGTATCGCTACACTCCATTACATTTTTTAAAGCCCTTAAAAGTTATCTTTTTTATAAGGGTTATCGTGAATTGTTAATTGCACTTTGTAAAGTGCGTTGTGAGGGCCTATGGTCCTGAAATGTGCTATAGAACTTATAATGATTATTAGTTCTGTTTAGTTCTTTGACACTCCCTTTTTTTGCCCCTGTTATGAACTACAGTTGACCAATGGGATCAAATACACCATCAATGAAACTGAGGGAAGCCTAGTGATCAACAATGTCAAGAAAGTGGATGGCGGAGAATATGAATGCAGAGCAGAAAATGCTATTGATGGAGAAGATTATGAGGCAACAGGTAGTGCTACCCTGACAACGCTAGGTGAGAGTTTTTTTATAATTTTCATTTTTGTTTGCTTTATTTTAGTTTCTAATTATAATCCCTTTTCTTGTTCCTCTTGCATAGGGTTGCAAATACCACTTTTTAATAGTTCTGCCTAAACATTAATTAACATTTTCTGTTGAATACAAAAGTAACAACATATGCAGACACTCGCTTGTGTCATATTGCTATATACTCCTACAAAAGCAATGTTTGGTCAAGTGTTTGCAAGATTTTAAAATGTATCATATTTGCCCCAATATACTAATGTTTACTTCAATAGGTCATGTAACCAATTCTAAACAAGACTTGAAAAATGTTATGCTGATCTGTGCATTGCACAATGAAGTTGATAAAGAGAGATGATATTCATTGTGAATGTGTGATCTCTCCCTCACATTCCTCCTATCACCACTGAACAGGCAAGACAACAATTTACCTTTCTCCTGCTAATTTGATGATTCGAGAGGGCAATACAGCCACTTTTCAGTGTGAAATAACGTATGACGAGGAGCTGATTGAACCCTATGTCTACTGGATGAAAGATGGTCAGAGACTCGAGGCTAATCAGGTCAATATGCATACACCAGACATTTAAATAGGTCTTCATTTGTCTTTGAAAAGTAGGATATTAGTTTGTTTATCTGCCACTGTGGGCACCCTTAAAGGTAATATAAAGTTTTGGTACGGGGTCATGAATTTGGTTCAAATGAACATATTGGAAGCAAATGCGATCCTACAATATTTAGTGATTGTTGTCGCGGTTGATATCGAGTCTAAGGTTATGAAATTGTAAATAATAAACTCTTCATGTTGTATAGCTCCCTCTCAAGGTCAAGATATTAATTAAGCTATAAAACAATGTTTCTTGACTAAAATCGACCAATTATCTATTCCCGTTTGGAAATAATATATCACAACTACATATTCTGAGATTTTTATGGTCGTAGCTTCCATTGTACGGCCATAGGCGCTATTTTAAATTTGTCAAAATTTACCGGGAGGACGGGTAAATTTTTATATTCAATTTGTCTTGAAAGCAGAGGTGTTTTAGGGGCTAAATTTTGTAGTGCTTATCCACAGGGGCATACTACATCCACAGGGGCATCCAAATCTATCAAAATTGTAAAGAATCGCTATCCACCCGATTTTCAAAATTTCCCAAAACTTTTTATTACCTTTAATCGTGCTTGCACGCCTGTAAAACCCTAGCTGCCCCTCCTGTTTGTGGTTGTTAAACAGTGCGTCCCAGAAAAAACGAAACCGAGAAGTATCGATGTTCTATCATAACTTAATCACAACTATAATTAATGAACGATACATATTTGGAAAGCTTAGAGTCTCCTCTTTCATGTGATGCTACTCAGATGACGCATGGGTGATTAAAAGCAATTTAAAGGAAGGAAACCAAAAAGTAATTTGGCAGGCGGTATCTGAATTTCGAAGAAAAAATCACATTTCTAGAAAGTTGAGTTTCTGCCCTTTCATATGACACCTCAATCAGGAAAAATGAGCAAGGAATGACAAAGTTCTGTTTGTTTAAAGTAGTGCTTGCATTTCCATAATTTTATTAAACAAATTCTTTTTCACTGGCTGCCTGCCGTATCAATAAACGAAATTAACAAAAGACTTAACTCCGTTTCGTTGACAATCAGCCGTAGACGAGAGTCTTTATGCATGGCTGATTGTCAACGAAACGGAGTTAAGTCTTTTGTCAAATCTGCTTTTTGCTACGGCAGGCACCCAGTGAAAACGAACGCTTTTGCCGGCCCAGCTGTGGAGGTGATGTCGGGCCAACAACATTGTCCTGATGGCCCGATAGCAGACTTTCTCTCTCGGGGCAAGTGTCTTCCCTCGGAGTGGTTGCTGAATCTAGAGGTGTTCGGCCAGTTTTGTGGCTTGGGATTATCTAGCGATCGATCTGTTTGCCACCACTAGCAACCACCGTCTTCCAAGGTATTGTTTGTGGGTTCAGGATCCTGAGGACTGGGCATTGGATGCCTTCTTTCTCCATTGGGGGCACTTCCGAGGCTATGCTCCCCCTTTCCTCTGATCCCTCAGAGCTTGAGGAAGATCAAGGAGGATTAGGCCGTGGTTCCCTGTTCTGTCTCTCTTGGACGGGTCGCCTTTTTCCTCTCCCGCTGAGGCTGGACTTGGTGTCCCAGCCTCTGTCCGGATTTGTCCCACGGTGTTCTCTCTGGCTGTTGTCGGAGAGGATGCTAGGGTTTCAGGATTCTTTGAGAGAGCTTCCCAGTTTATAGTCCATAGTCGTAGGGACTCCACGAAGGCTCTTTACAATTCTCGCTTGGAGCTCTTCTCCATCAGTGGTTACCGTTCAGCCATCGATCGCCGCCATTCATGTCGAGTTTCCGGACGGTTCGGGGGTGTCTAACTCGTATTTCGTGTCCAAGCTACTGCGTTCCTTTTTTCTACACCGGCCAGCTTAACCAAAGCCGGCCCCGGCTTTAGCAAAGCCTCCTTTTGAGCCTTTGTCTGAGGCTTCACTTTTTCATTTGATGGTGAAAACTGTGTTCTTAATGGCAATAGTTTCTGGACAGCGGAGGAGTACGCTTCATGCGCTGTCTACCTCCCCTGGCCACATCAGGTGGGAGAGACAGGTGCCACAGCCTTCGTTCATTGCCAAAAATCAGTCCGCGTCCTCTGGGCCGGTGGAGGTGTCCCTCAGTCCTCTTTCGGAATTCTCCTCGGTCGTGAAGGACAAGATCTGGTGACCAGTGCGGGCACTTAAGTGGTATTTAGATAAGACCAAGGGTCATCGAAAGGATGAACAATTATTTCTCATATCTCGTGAGCCCTTTTCTCCAGCTTCTCGAGAGTCCATCTCAAGATCGATAGTGGAAGCTATTCAGGCGGCTGGACCTGAGGGCCTCCTCCCAGAGGGCAGGACCAGGGCCCACGATACAAGAAGTATCATTACTTCCTGGGCGTTGTTCCAAGGAGTGGGTTTGGACGGCATTTTGAAGGCCGCCTTTTGCCGGTCTCCCAATTTATTTTGTTGTTTTATCTTAGGGACGTCCCCTCTGGGCAGGTTTTGTTTGCAACCCTAAGGGCGGCTTCGTCTGCATTGTTCCCCAGTTATCTCCTTCATGTTTGGGACATGCATCCCGGTCCTTTCTGTAATAATACGTAGATACATTGATTTATTGTGGTAAATCAGAAAAATCAAATCTAATTTTATTATTTACTATATAAATCTATGTATCTACCTATGTCCCTCCCTTCGTCCCCTCTCCCTCCCTCCATCCCCTCTCCTTGCCCGGCAATGGTGGGCGTGCGTTGCGCACGTCAACCCTGGGAAGGTGATGTATTGGGGGTGGGGCATGCGCGAATGTGACGTTTTAAGTTCTTGATGGTTGCTGAGTTTAGATAAACTAGCAAATAATAGGTGGATACAATAGATTTATATAGTAAATAATAAAATCAGTTCTGATTTTTCTGATTGGCTACCTTGTCAAAAAGCTCAGAGTCCAGCATGTCCCTGCCAGACAGCAGATGAAACAGTCAACCATCTGATAGGAGCATGCATGACCCCCACTCATCAAGACCATATTAACTTGCACTCAACACCTACATGTACTACGATCAGTTCCTCCCATTTTCGTGGCCAAAGTCACCACAAATATCATCCTCCTTGGAGACAATGATGACCCACCCATTACTGCCCAGGCCCTGGATTACCGTGCCGCATTCCTAAAATTTATCCTGGAAATGCACTTAAAACAATCTTCTGTGAACAAAGCAGCTGCTGCATAAGTTGTCATTAGCACATCTTGTAAATATTTAACATTTATGTACCCCTATTATATTGTCTGCCTATTCTCCATTAAATCACTCTGGGAAAGATATAACTCCAAACCTTTAGGAAATTAAGAAGATATCTTTCTCTCATTTTGATTGATTTTTCATTATTTTTTGTGTTTCTTGTCAGAGAAAGGAAATGATTATTATCCATCTGAGGGTTTAAATCCGAAAAACAAAAGCTTGCTTGTCTACTGTAGATATAAATCCTACTCTAAATCACTGTTTGTTGGTAAAGTGATATATTTGTTTAGTATCTTTGGGCTGTTTTTATGTACTTTATTCTTCCAAAGTTGTTTAAGAAATTGCTGGGTTTAAAAAACGCACTATTATTGCATACACAGATTTTTTTTAAACAAAATGCTCTGCTCAATGTTTTTTTCGGTTAATTTATTATAGAGATTATATATAGTTATAAAAATATTTAAAGAAATTAAAGAAATGAAAAAGTTCAATGAAATTGCATTACCGGTACTAAAATTTGTTCTTTTTCTTTCCTCGATATAGGACAATTCCCTGAGAATAGAGAATGCCTTTTGTACTCATTCAGGAACCTATACATGTGTTTTCGAAGCAACCATTGATGAGAGTGCAGGCACAGTTCATTCAGTGAATGCCTCTGCTAAACTCATTGTAAAAGGTACGACTTAGAAAATGACATCTACGGTGACATCTTAGGTCCCGTTTATTGCTTGTACCATCAAGAGCTGTTGAACTGATTCACAGAATTTGTAGCAAATTGAAATAACTCTTCCGAATCATGCCTCAAAACTAATAACCATTTCAGTAAATGTGTAAATACTGACTTCTTTGGCGCAGCCAGCACTTTGAATGTTTTTAACAGAAATATGGCACTATACAATTCCAAGAATCATCAGCAATTCTGAAGTGTATTACTAACACCACTTGTGCTAAGAAGCCCTTATTTGATTCATTTTTTGATAAATTATATCATTCAACACAGTATATGACATGGCTGGGTATTAAAAAAATTTCAGGCCTTATCTATATATCGTTTTCAATTTCATATTTATACAGTATTTTGTGAAGATAAAAAAGTTAATGAGAAGCTTTATTTAACATTTGATGCATTGTGCTTCTCCCAGGTCGGCCTGAATCTCCTCAGATTCTGATGCTTCGAGCCAAGCAACAGGAGTTTGCAATGGACCTTTTCTGGGAGCCTGGCAATGATAACAATGCTCCTATCCAATATTACATCATCCAGTACGACACCAAGTGGGCAGATATGCACTGGCAATTCCAAGCAGTAAGTTCACGTTGAAATCACGGGACAGACTTGCCACTGTTGAGGGTCGTATTTCTAAAGTCCACCGCGCACTACATGATGGTCCTGTGATTCGATTTTTGAAGAAATTGCAAATTTGTTCTTGATAGGAAATCTAAACAAACATCATCTTCTTTATTTATTATCTCAATAAAGATGAGAGTACTACCAACCAGAATGTTAGTGCATTGAACTCTTCTAGTCAAATAAAAGCTGAATCCATGGCTTCATATCGTTGACAATGGGCACTACTGAACTGACGTCACCACAATTCTGAACCCATTTAGCTTTTCCTCTTCCAAGGAAGCATGAAATCCCTTGAAATTTACATTTCATTAATCAAATGAACGTTCAGAACCTCTGTCCTTAAGATTTTACATGTTTCAATGTTCATACCAAATGCTCTCACAATTGAATATAAAATAAATAGCCGCCGCTTACATGCAAGGCTGTCAGGGCATTGAGCGAGCCGATGAGTTATCGATCCCCATCCAAATTCAGCCTATAGCGCGAGTGCTACCATTCCTTAGTGCGACTACTCTCGCTGGAATGGAGTGAGTAGATCAGCATTAATGACCATTGTTGTGTGTCGCGCACGCACTCCTGGTCTTTATAGAGTTGAAGTTTGCAAGAGCACAAAAGTGAGAAAAGGATCGCAATGTACATAATAATAATTTAATAAGCATGTCAATATTTCAAATTACAAAACAAATGCATAAGCAGGAATTCATGGGGACTTGTTAATGTGATGAAAACTCGATAACACAAAACTGGGTTTCAGCTCGATGGTCAGGGACTAGTTTCAACTCGGGACTAATTTCTGTTGTGATTTTGAATTCAGTTATTAATTGGTACCGGTATTTCTCTCTCTTTCTTTAACAGAACGAGACATCTAGTGGCCTTGCAATCTATCGCAAAGTGCTTTACCTGCAGCCGTTCGTAGACTATCAGTTCCGAGTCATTGCTGTGAACGAGATTGGGGAGTCTGAACCAAGTGCGGAGGTAGCCCCAACGGTCGATCCTCAAGTTGCCCCACCCTCTGAAAATCCGAGCGGAGTCAGCGGAAGTAGCACAAGACCCGAAGCAATGGTCATAAGATGGCAGGTAGGTCCTCAAAAGATAATGAGATCGTAATTTTGTTATTCTTAACATTTCTATTGACTATTTGGCAGTCTCTATTACAGTGATCAAGGTATTTAATATATAGATATAGAAATCAAGAATGTACAGTTGTTTGCTCTATTATATTTTTATTTCCTATTTTAAATAAATAATACAAATACTTTGTATAACTGTAGTAGTTAAATATAGACAATGATTGCATATTCATGTGTATTGGTTGGTTCTTGACAATAATAATAATGATGTCTTCTAGGTCTGGTATCCGCCAGCTCAGGCGCTCATGGCACTTGCTCCAAAATATGATATACATATTACCTGAACTCTGTAGATGCACTGCTTGTGGTATATACAGCTGAAACAACCATAAATAGCCCAAGAAATACTCATTGGCAGTGTTCACTCAGTAGTCATGTTTTGAGCGGTATTTGAGCATAACTTGATGGTTTCTTGGAATTCTATGTTTTCAGGCAATTCACCCCTTCTACTACGGTGGGGATGGTTTCCACTATGAGGTCGCATACAGACCCAGGATTTCAAGTGAACCATTCACAAAGGCTACAGTAGACCCAGAAAACACTGATGATAATCCTACTGGAATCATCCAGAATTACATCGTAAATGCTAGTCAACTTTGCGAGGAGTTTGAGTTCTCTGTACGATCAGTGAATAGTGGGGGACCAGGACCCGAACCAGAGATTCATCATGGGTTCCCTGGAAAAGCTTGTAAGATGCACTCTTCATGCATAATTATAGTGCCATTTTATTTTTTATTTTTTATTTTTTATTTTTTTGTTAAATCCATAACTGCAGTCGTACAAACGAATTTGACATGGATTACAATCGTGTGATTAAAAAGAAATGTACACAAATTGAACACAAACAAAAATATATATATGATCATTGTAAGATAAACAAATTTGTTGAATCTACTTGTATATATAGGATTCATTAATGTATAAGGTATAACCTACCTCACAGGGTCCTAAGCTTTGCAGTAAATGCCTGCATAGTTCACCGTCAGGTGTATTGTGATACTGTTGAGGTGCAGTGCAGATGTGTGTACATTAATGTCTGATAAAAGGTACAGTAATTGATCAAGTCAAGTAAAAACAATTACCCTTTTAGCGGAGCTGGGTCTTTTGTACTGGTACCTCTTGCTTGAAGCTGTTAACAGAGGTACAATTAATGGTGTTCTGAGGGAGAGAGTTCTAGAGACTTATTACATCCGGGAAGAAGCTCCTCTGGTGGACCAGAGTTCTGGCAAACAGAACTATGATCTTCTTAGAATGCCCTCTGTGCAGGGATGTAGATGGAGTGAGGAAAGTGTGTGGGTTATGTCTATCAGCAAGTTGGTGATGTGATAGATCATCACCACCTTAGCCTGTGCCTTGCGTTCCTATAATCTTGGCCACTTGAGCGGGTTCAGCATGGCTGCTACGCTGCTTGCCCTGCGTTAGTCATTGAAATTGAAGCCGACATAGCGCGTTTTACCATTTAAAACTTCTTGATGTTTGCTTGCATGAAAAAGCTCATCATATTTTTGTCATAATACTCAACCCTGCTTGAATATATACATGATGCCACAATGGAATACTGAAGTATAGCCATAAGAACAACAGATGTCATGTTTATACAGTATTTTGGTGTGGAAAAAAAAAACGTTGATGAGAAGCTTTATTTAATATTTGATGCATTGTGCTTTTCCCAGGTCGGCCTGAATCTCCTCAGATTCTGATGCTTCGGGCCAAGCAACAGGAGTTTGCAATGGACCTTTTCTGGGAGCCTGGCAATGACAACAACGCTCCTATCCAATATTTCATCATCCAGTACGACACCAAGTGGGCAGATATGCACTGGCAATTCCAAGCAGTAAGTTCCCGTTGAAATCACGGGACAGACTTGCCACTGTTGAGGGTCGTATTTCTAAAGTCCACCGCACACTACATGATGGTCCTGGGACGGTATTTTGAACCCTGTGTTATCTCTAATATTGTTGTATCTTTGAAGATAAGATAAAGTTGGTATTCTGAACATTGTTGTAACTTTTGTGTTATCTTTTGTTGTATCTTTTCTCTCATCTTATTGGCCGCGCCTGCGCTCATACTTTGGTGCTCTTGTAATTGTGCGTATTATTAATAAAGTGGCATTTAATCCTCATTTGCATATGCCCACGGGAGATAATATGTCAAGATAATTGGTATTCTGAAAGTTGTTGTATCTTTTATCTTATCTTATCTTGCATGGTATTTACAACAATATTTACAACAGGTAGGGGGTTGTTGTATCTTTCGTTGGTGATATAATGGCGGCAATATTTTTGCACAGAACCAACTTCGTGCCAATAGACGAGTTAGAAGAAGATTGTGTGTTGACCGGAAACATCACAGATGAGAACTTTCTAAGATATTACATGCTAGGATATTAATGCTCTCATCTTAACCAATATAGTGAAAGCGTGATTTGTCTTCATGATCCACATTCAACAGCGCATAATGATGACGCGCGTAATAAGTGCTCAAATAACTAATTACGCCCAAGATTAGTATGCGCTAGGCGCATCTTCAGATATGGCATAAAGTATTCCTATTGGTTGACCTACTTATCATGCTTATATAAAATAGATTTTGATTGGTAGGGTCCATAAAAATGGCATGTCATCAATGGTCAAAGATAAGATAGAGGCGGTCCTTCAAGAGATAACACAGGGATAAAAAAATGTTCAGAATACCAACTTAAAACAATATTAGCGCTGTGTTATCTCTGGAAGATACAACAAAAGATAACACAAAACTTACAACAATGTTCAGAATACCACCCAGTAATCTGATTTCTGAAGAAATTGCAATTTTTTATTAGATAGGAAATCTAAATAAACATCATCTTCTTTATTTAGTATCTAAATAATGATAAGAGTACTAACAACTAATGGGGGCAAATTGTTTGGTATATATCAGTCGTGGAATCTAATCTGAATGTAAGTATACAACAAGATGAAAAATTAAAATATGCATTTTCCTTTTTTTGCTTAAACAACACTGGTAAAACTGGTAGATAAATGTGAATCAATATTGAACAACTTAATCATGAATTCCTAAATAGATGGAAAGTCTTAAATGCCGGCAATTTTTTTTGCATATATATATATAGAAATATCAGTTGTGTATTAATGATCTATTGTAATATAAATCTATAATAATTTGAATGTTAGATATTGAAATTTTAAATATGCATTTTTACATTTTTGCTAATGAAATTTTATAAAATGGGTTCAAGAATGTAGCCAATGAGAAGCGTCGATTGGATCAAGTGACCATGCATTATTTGTTATTATATGCCTCACTTAGAAATCCAGCCATCTGATTGGTCGAAATTGCAATCGTGGTTTTAGCTATTCTCGTAAATAAACGAAAAATGCGAAACCTATGTAATAGTTCTAGAGTAAATCAGTAAAAATCCCCGCTAAATTCCAGTTATCAGGAAAATAGTTCAATCTTGCTGAAATACCCATTGGTTCACGTGTTAAAATCTGGTTTGAGCAAGCGCGGATACCATACATTGTGTTTGTGCGAATTGGTCGCTAGCTTAATTTTTTTTTTTTTTAAATGTCGGTCGTACTACTAAATCTGGCCTAGATTCTACTTATAGTTTCCAAACAAGGCAAAAATGGCTGAAGAAACTCTTCCTAGAATTCAACTTCTCGATGATGATCAATTGCAAGACTTGATTAATTCTACTGACAGCATGAACACCAAAAGGGTACGTGAAATTCATAATGAAAACTGTTGGACATTTGTTCTTGGTAATTGTGTGCGCATACGACGTGTACGTCGCTACAGCTACAACACGTAATTGTGCATCAATTCGACCATATCTTAAGTTGCCATTAATGTTATAAATTAGGGCGAAACGCATTTGAAAGCACAGAATATCTGCTATTTTGTGGAGTAGAAATCATTTCTGGGGAACTTGTAACCCTGCTGCCTTTTGTTCTTGAATGTTGTTACGCATTCACTTTCTGAGACAAAAGTCTATGGCAGATGCCATAATTTTGTGTTGATACATGTGCAGATAAACTAGAGAAAAGCCAAGGTGGTGTCATAAGTTGACTCTTTTTTTTGGTATATAAAAGTAATAATGACTGCTTTAATATTAATAGCGCAATTTTAACCTCCCCTTGAGCGTATAAAAAAAACTATGTCTCAAAGCAGTCATTATTACTATACTATTTTCATGGTACAATCTGCATGGGGTGCATTTTGGTGATGACAACCATGGATGAAGGGTGCAGGGAGACACCTTATGGCCTTGCTAATTAAGATTGTCGACCCATTTTATAGAACAAATAATGCACAGGTTTTCATTCGTGACATTATGGCAATGCAGCGCTATTCAGGTATTCACAATGGCACAGAATACACTCGGCTACACCTCATAAATTTTATTGCAGACCGTTGAGGCTATACCTCCGCACTTGGTTCAAACTCCCCAATGTCGTTCACAGCAATGACACGAAACTGATAGTTATCAAAACACCAATTCCTAGGAAATAGGAACAAAATAGGCGGTCAATTGCTATTTTAAAACTATTTTAAATAAAATATGGTGTTTAAATACGGTGCATTCACATGAAAATAGGAAATAAATAGTAAAAAATAGCAAAAATATATTTTTCCACAGCCCATTTTGACGAGGGTCATCATCATCAGCAGCAGCAGCTGCATCATCATCATCATTGTCAACATCATTATCATCATCAATATCATCATCATCATCACCTTGTCCTAATGCTGTTATCACACTTATTGATCATAAATTCTGTTGTGATTTTGAATTTAGTTATTGGTATTTCTCTGTCTCTGTCTCTCTCTCTCTTATTCACAGAACGAGACAGCAAGTGGCCTTGCAACCTATCGTAAAGTGCTTTACCTGCAGCCATTCGTAGACTATCGGTTCCGAGTCATTGCTGTGAACGAGATTGGGGAGTCTGAACCAAGTGCGGAGGTAGCCTCAAGGGTCGATCCTCAAGTTGCCCCACCCTCTATAAACCCGAGCGGAGTCAACGGAAGTACCACCCTAACATCGACGGTCATAAGATGGCAGGTAGGTACTCAAAAGATGATGAGATTCTAATTTATTTTTTTTCTTAACATTTCTACCGACTATTTGGCAGTCTCTATTTATAATGATCAAGGTATTTAATATAAAGATATAGAAATCAAGAATTTACAGTTATTTGCTTTATTTTATTTTTATTTCCTATTTTGAACAAACAATGCAAATACTTTGTTCAATTGTAATAGTTAAAGATAGACAATGATTGCATATTCATGTGTATTTGTTGGTTCTTGACAAACATAATATCAATGTCTTTTATAACCCTGGTATCGGTCAGCTCAGGCGCTCATGGCGCTTGCTTCAAAATGTACATTACCTGAACTCTGTAGATGCCATGCTTGTGGTATATACAGTTAAAACAACATCAAACTGCCCAAGAAATACTCATTTGCAGTATTTATTCAGGAGTCAGTTTACATCAAATTTAGCTAGTTTTTCAACTGGAGAGATGTGTCTTGAGCGTTACTTGAGCATTACTTGAGCGTTACTTGAGCATAACTTGAGCATAACTTGAATTCTGTGTTTTCAGGCAATTCACCCCTTCTACTACGGTGGGGATGATTTCCACTACGAGGTTGCGTACAGACCCAGGCTGTCAAGTGAACCATTCACAAAGGATTCAGTATACCCAGAAAACACTGATGATAATCCTACTGGAATCATCCAGAATTACATCGTAGATGCTAGTAAACTTTGCGAGGAGTTTGAGTTTTCTGTACGATCAATGAATAGTGAGGGACCAGGACCCGAACCAGAGATTCATTATGGGTTCCCTGGAGTAGCCTGTAAGTTGCACTCTTCATTCATTCATTAGTGTCATTTTATTATTTGTATGCCTCCGCTACAAAGTAGCTTGAGGCATTATGTTTTCGGATTGTCCGTCTGCACGCAAGCACGTAGCCAGGATTTCATTTTAGGGGGGCGGTAGTGAGCACGCAAAGCATGCGAATCACTTACTGAGCGTCCATAGCGCGCTCCCTAGGGGGATGGGTGCAGGGAGGGGGGAGTTTCCCCCCTCCCGAGCAAAGTGCGGAAGCTTTGAAAGAAGACAATTTGTTGTACTTTTCTCGACTCATAATCCTTACCTGTATTCAGTCCCCCTCTGCGCGAAGCGCGGAAGTTTTGACGTTTCATTAATTTATTAGAGAAAGAAGACGATTTGATGTACAGTTCTCGACTCTTAATCCTTATCTAAATTCAGTTTCTTCCCCTCCCGCGCAAAGCGCGGAAACTTTGAAGTTTCATTAAATAATTAGAGAAAGAAGACGGCTCGAAGTACCGTTCTCAACTCCTAATCCTTGTCTGAATTCATTCCCCCCCTCCTCCGCGAAGCGCAGAAGCTTTGACGTTTTATTAGACAAAGAAGACGATTCATTGTACCTTTCTGACTCTTAATCCTTATCTGTATTCAGTCCCCCTCTTTCAAAGTGTGAAAGCTGTGACCTGTCATTAAATTATTAGAGAAAGAAGACGATTCGTTGTTCCATTCTCGACTCTTAATCCTTAATTTGAACTTAATTTCCCCCCTTTCCGCGAGAAGCGCGGAAGCTTTGACGTTTCATTAAATTATTAAAGAAAGAAGACGATTCGTTGTACCGTTCTCGACTCCTTTTCCCTTTTTCTTCCTACGTCCTCTTAATTTTTTTCTTCTCTTTCTCTCTCTTTTTTTTGGGGGGGCCGGCGTTTTTTTTGGGGGGCGACTGCCCCCACCGGCCCCCCTGGCTACGCGCCTGTCTGCACGTCCTGTTCTCATGATCGCGTTATCTCAAGAACTGGTTGAAGGATTATCACCAAACTTGGGTCATGTGTGTATCTTGCAGAGCCAATGAACTGATTAGATTATGGGGTCAAAGGCCATGGGGCTCATTATGTATCCAAAATAGCTTGTGAAGACATTGTCATTAGTATCGACGACGAATGGATTACTATCAAACTCAGGACATGTATGTATCTTGCAGATCCAATGAACTGAATAGATTTTATGGTCATGAAGTCAAAGATCAAAGGGTACGTCATACATGTTAATGTATATGAAAAATAGCTTGTAATCATGAAAATCTGAGAACCTATTAATGGATTACAATCAAAGTTGAATTTTTAAATTTGCTTCTGCTATGGTTTGTAAAATCGCTCTATGGCGGAGGCATGATTTTCGCCTGTGTGCAGTCAAAAGCAGTCGAAGATCTATCTAGTTCAATCCATAATTGCACTCATACAACTGAATCGAAATGATTACAATCGTTTGATTAAAAAGAAATGTACACAAGTTGAACAAAAATGGGATGCAACAAATTAACGATCATTATAAGATATGAGCATTTTCAAACTACAGCTATAAATTTGTTGAATCTACTTGTACATAAGATTCATTAATATATTAGGTATAACCTACCCCACAGGATCCTGAGCTTTGCAGAAAGTTCCCGCATAGATTCCCTCCCTTCATATTCTAATTTTACATCGTTGAAGTAAATGTTTGATGGAGAAATGCCCCTTCTGCACGAAAAATCCCTGAACACTCCATCATATTTTTGTCATATTGCTCAACCCTGCTCAAAAGATTTATATGGTGCCAAAATGGAATACTGAAGTTTATACACCAAGCCATAAAGAATAACAGTTCAGGGACTAAACCCCCGTCACATCCTTCTTTTTTTTCTTTCATTTTTCTTTTGGCTTCTTTTAAGTTTTTATTTAGATTTTCTTAATCATAATTCCTTCTCTTTTTCCTCTTGCATAGGGTTGCAAGTACCTTTTTTCTACCAAAACAAAATTTAATTTTAATTTTCTGTTGAATACAAAAGGAGGATTATCTACAGACATATGGTCATGTAACCCATCTAAAGAAAAATTGTGATCTCCCCCTCCCATTCCTTCACCAAGGCTACAATTGACCTTCCTCCTGCTAATTTGATGACACGAGAGGTATACATGTACAGTAATTTCAAAACTATTTTTTCTCAACTTTCTGACAATTTTTTTATTTAATGTAAGAATTTATTTTGGCTGCTTTGGTCTTTTGATAACTCTGAATTTAAAGATGAAAACAGCTACCATTATCAATGAATTCAAACTCATATATGCAATTTTTTGTCCAGGTTTGGCCAGTGACTTCCCAGACCAGGCCATCAACCAAGCCTCTAGGGAGCTTGTCCAACAACATTCTGGTGCCTTCCAACAAGAACGCGCATCCTATCCTACAATTGGTAACAATACTTGTAGACTTCGAGCTATATACTAATCTTTGTACAAGGCATATATTACCATTGTGATGATTACTCTTATTAACTCCATATTAAAATGTTAAAGGTAAAGACCAGTATTGGAAATGCCCCAATTTCAAAAAATGAAATGGAAGCTCTTATTACCAATCATGTGAAAGAATATGATTTGACTAATACATGATGATACAAATTTTGCCGGGAAACCGCCTACTAATTGATATATTTGGTAAATTAGTTTATCTATTGGCCTGTGAGAGATATAGTCCCATATACATCTTTCTGTGCACAGTGCTTGTAACTTTACAAAGACTGGGCCAAATTTCTTATCATTTTGATGATTCTAGAACCTTGCAGTACACACCAATACGTATATGATCAACATTTTCTGATCAATTCCACAACGTTTCTTTCACAATGCAATCGCATGACCATAACTGGTCTTTATCTTTAAAGCTATACAACAGTTTGATATCAATATATTACCGGTATGTATGTCTGTATTTTACTCATTGTTGTTTGCTGTAAGCAATTTGATAGTATCCTGTCTTATGCCTTTCCTTTGCAGAAAGAAGATGTGTCAAACGTCTTCAATTTAAATTTATGCCTTAAATTTGTAATCAGTACGAGGTGAATTGGATTGTTTTTATTAAGAGTAATTCAATTCAATTCAATTGAATTTTATTTCGCAATATAAAAATCAAAATATACAAAGTAACGGTAAATTTTAACTATGTTTACAAAGGTTATATGCGGGGCTTTCCATGAAGGTTGCGAGAACCTGTGAAGTTGGATCGCCCATTAAAGAATGAAAAACAATACAAAAAGAAATATAAAATATTGTAAGCACACAGCAATAAATTAAATTAAATGAAATAAGCGAAGTACAAACACTTTAACTATCTATAAGACAAGAGAAAGTAAAATAGAGAGAAGAACAAAAATATATAAAGGGGGAAAAGAAAAGAAAACAAAATAACAATGAAAGAGGGTTCAGATATAAAAATTAAAAAAAATCAACTGTGCTGATTAATAATTATTTAGTAGTAAGATTTTATATTGTTTTCTAAAGGAAGATACCAGGTATGAATTGTGATTTCGTTTTTACTTATGGAATCATATTCCACTGTTTAGGACCTAGATAACTCAATGATTTAGCTTCATAACTAGACTTAAAAGACCATGAATGAAATTTGTTGGAAAATCGTGTATTATAATTATTATAATTATGAATTTGACTATTATATTGAAATTTGGAATTATCACTGGATTTAGCGAGATTATGTTATTTTGTGTCCAATTGTACCTTGTATGCGTTGCTTGTGTATCAGATTGTAAAAAGAAGGTTTACAATGGATCTTTTTATTAATTTTTCTCGTAAATATTTGTACCATGCCGTCCTTTTTTAATATCTAAATTCTAAGTTCCTTAGAAACGCTGTTGTAAACAATTACCATTTTAAGACATTCAAGACCCTACAAAACTCACCTTAAAAAAAAAATGTTTCCATGGCAACTGTTTATATCTTTATTTCATGTATACTTGTATCTCCCAAAGGTTCACCATGGATAATTAAATTGCTTTATAGAAGGGGAACCTCCCCCCTCCCCTTGAATATAAAATTTAAAAATCTGTCATATTTTGTTACAATTAACCAGACATTTCATTGTGACACTTTTGGTTTCCTTGAAAATTTAGTGACATCAAATCTTTCAGCATAAGAAATATTGGACAAGGGCACTAATTTTCAGTATTCATTTTTAGAAAAGTGTGTAGACTATGAATCAGATTTGAGGGAAATAACCAACTCTACTTTGCTGAGGGTACTAAACTGCTTCTACTCCCACCCCCCCCCCCTTACACACGCCCCTTTTTATTGCAGGAAAATCATGGATTTAGACATGTTGGCAACAAGTTATTTGTAGTACTACTATAAGTCATAGTTCTAATTCAGAAGATGTTTTACTACTTTCAACTTATTTCTGTAGAACGATTTTGTAACGTTCGATTTTAAACGTTTTAAATCATGAATCAAAGAATGAGGATGACAAAATGTAAATTTTCTGATTTTGCAAATTATATCAATAATTCCAAAATGTATTTACCATGTTTATAACCTGTGTTTATTAGTCTTTTAACCTTGCCTTCTCAATTACGAGCCATGATCAAGTGCTAGTTATATAATGCTGCTAATTTTCAGTTGTCATATTTTCAGTATTTTCTTTCTGCTGTTATGGCTAATTGATTGAATAAAATGTTGATCATATTGTACATCAATACCATTATGTATGATGTTTATTCTTGTATATGTCATCCTCTGAGTCACTGTGAGTGTGCTTCAAGCCCTTACCCTCTGCTACCCCTCCCCTCTCTCTCTCTCTCTCTCTCCCTCTCTTTCTCTCTCTCTCTCTCTCTCTCTCTCTCGGGTTTTTACATGTGTATCACTCTTCATTTGAGGTATTAAGTTCAGAAACATATGAATCTGCAAGACAATCATAATTAAAAGAATTTTGTTTGTGTGATTTCTTGTAGAAATGTAGGAATATAAGAAGAACAAAATTCTTGATGGTTAAATAAGAGATGATATCTAGAGTTTTTTTCCCCTCCTTTTTACCTGACTTCTAAAAATACATGTGTATGCTTGTGAACAAGGAACCAGGGAACTGACTGTTTTAAGTCCTCTCTGAGGAACTTGGTATTGAGGATAAAGGACTTACCAAAGTGCCGTAGCACATATCAACTCGGTTTTATACCCGGAACCCCCCCCCCCCCCCCCCCCACCCTCGGTTACAAGATCACTGCTCTACCATTGGACCATCACTGGCAACATGGATGGAATAAAAATGTCAATTATTTGCAGTGCTTCACATTATCTTTAATTACAAGCAATTGTGTAGTCCATATCTATTGGAGGAGTGGGCGCTTTTGAATGCTTGAAACAGATAAATGGCGCCATACAAGTGCTGTGGATCATCATCATCATCATGAGCTATAATTTGTCATTCAAAAATATTAGTACCAGTAGTAAATATTCAGTTTGTGTCATTCTACATTTAAAGAAAACTACATACCGGGTATATTTAAAATATTTGTTTTTAAAGCTTTTTGTATGTTTATTTTTTTATTTTTGGTGTCATATATACCAGTAAACAAAAAAAGTAAGAAAAATACTTCAATATGTTAATCACCTGATGTATGCCAGTTGGAACACACATTGGGCTATTATCCCAAAGAATTCTAAATTTTACATTAATTGACTATGTAATTCATGTATACACGGTATAAACATTACATACAATATACTACGCGATAACTAAACTAAACTTTTGAGAACTTAAGAGTTGCACGTTATATTTGTTCTTTTTTTTAAAGATGGAAAATAGACTGAAATTGAAAATTGAAATTGAATTGAAATTGAATTGAATTGAAAATTGTATCGGTTTGCGACTTTAAAATATTGTAACAGAAAAGACCAATGGCAATGAGTGTTGAAGATATTCCTATAATGTTTTTAACAAAAGATGGCGCTAGACCACATTTGACAAGTTGCCCCTAGATGTAATATTCAAGCACTCACTCATCTGCGGACTTATTCGACCATGGGAAGGGATTAATCATAATGATCAAAGAAATGATTAAGTGCTTAATTACTGCTTGATGGTTGATGAACCGAGCTGGTCGATATGTTGGCTATTTCTACATGAATAGGCATGTAGGCCAATGTCAAGCAGGTTCCCTGCGCACAGTTCTTGACAATTAAAACATAAAAGCAAAAAAACTATTACAAACAAAAAGAAAACAAACACGGTACACTAAACTATATACAAACTATAGATATACAATATTCATCATAGAAAAACATTAATACAACATTCATGATACAGTTAATGATGTATCCCTGTTATTATTCACTCTTTACGTGTCTTTATATACTCATACCGTGTAGGCCTATTGATAAAAATATACTTTTTTAAAAAATCTGTATGTTTATGTTATATCACATAAGGACAAAGTCTTAATGATGACTTTAATTTCACTTTTAACTAACACCTGTTGATTTAGCTCATAAACAGAATGCATGTGAAAGATGGTGAGCAAAGTTTGATTATCAATAAAATGAATCAGGAACTGGTAAAAACAACTATCCAGAAAATGGAAGGGGGAAGTATAATAGGAGGCAAATTGTATAACGTTTGTTAATTACGTTTCTTAGCTATTATGTGCTGCTCCTGGGTGCTGCTAGCTCAGTCGGCTTTTTATAGTGGATTTTCCCATGCACAAGTTCTTCTTTCAATTAGTAGGCCTACATGATTGTAACAAACTGATGGGTTTTAAACCAAAAAGGCTAAAGAGGCTGGAGTACAATGGGAAGTATAAGAAAGCGTGCAACATTTACTAGAAATTAGAGCTGAGGAAAAACAAAAACTAAGCTGAAACTGGGAATTAAATCTTTAAAAATAATGATGGGATTATTTTGGTATGCACGTAATTAGAGCGTGATTTATGCAAATGGATTACGGCAAAAAGTTGGCTTAAGCGTACCCAGGTCGAAAATCCCATAGAGACCAATAGAGACCATTAGAAAAATTATATTGGTCTCTAATGGTTTCTGTTGGAGTCTATTGGTTTCTGTTGGACCCATACAATTGAATCCAATAGAGACCATTCAAACCATCAGAAACCAATAGAAACCAATAGCACCCATAGAAACCAATATAAATAGAAACCAATATGACCAATAGAAACCAATAGGACCAATAGAAACCAATAAGACCAATAGAAACCAATAGGACCAATAGGACCAATAGAAACCAATAGGACCAATATAAACCTATAAGACCAATAGAAACCAATAGGACCAATAGGACCAATAGGACCAATAGAAACCAATAGGACCAATTTAAACCAATAAGACCCATAGAAACCAATAGAACCAATAGGACCAATAGAAACCAATAGGTCCAATATAAACTAATAGAAACCAACAGCTAAATCTATCTCATGCATATTCATGATTACTTTATACGTGTTCACAGAAAATTAAATTTATCATAATTTGTTAAGCAACTTATGACAATGTACATCGATTTTGTGATTTTTATTTTCTTTTGGCAACTAATGACCAAAAGCTTATTTGTTTAATCATGTTACAATTTCATTCACGATTTAGCAATAGATATATTGATTATAATGATTACTATAAAATACTAACCAAGAAACAATTCATGTATGTTTATTATATAGAATAGTACAAGCATTCTGTTAAAATAAAGGATATTCTTAAACTCACTTCAAGTGATCTATGTGATGGAGTTAATGCAATTGAGATTGGAATATACTTTTTTTTGGTGGACAGTTGCTAAAATCGATTTTGATTGATCATTATTGATTTACCAATAGAAGCCATTGGACTATTGGTTTCAATAGGGAATTCAGAATATGGGACCATTAGAAACCCATAGAAAGATCTCTAGTGGACCAACAGGAACCCATAGAAAATATCGAATGGACCAACAGAAACCCATCATAGAAGAACATATCTAATGGACCAACATAAACCCATAGAAGACATGGGTGGATGCTGGTCCAATAGAAGCTTTCTGTTGGTCCATCAGTATTTTTTCTGTGGGTTTGTGTTGGTCCAATAGATATTTTCTAATGGTTTCTGTGGGTCCATCATTTCACTTTCCCTATTGAAACCATTAGACACCAATAGCTCTAATGGTTTCTGATGGTCCAATAGGATCGGATCCTAATGGAATTTCGACCTGGGTAGGTTGCGCTTACAATGGAAGTCCCTATAACGGGTACCATTTTCTGCCAAAATGAATATGGGTTAGATTCGACCAGGGTCGTGAAAGAGAAGGACTGGATCACCACTCTCCTTTGACCCTATGCTCCAAGCCGCCGAAAAGTTATATGCGCTAAACTGCAATTAACTGTTGGCCTGGTGATGGGATAAAAGAGCGCATGAAATTTCAGGATTTAGAATTTCTACATCAGAAAATAGTATCACTCACGTTTGCTGTCCCTTTCAATGATTCTCACTGATTGTTGAATGTGTAAAGAGTAGAACAAGCGAACCCAAACTTGTGTAATTTCATCCTTTTTTCCACTAAACTGCAAAAATACAAAAAACACGCGAAAACACGCATTAGCAAACTTAAAGTTATCGAAGATTGTAAATTATGGATGACATAACGGGACATTAAAACATGCACAAATTAGCGCATTATCCTAAAATATTGAGTTTTTGTCAGGATTTTTCTTTTACCAACTCTGGCACAAAAATTAGATTTCTTTATTTGCAAATGATTCGGTGTGTTTTTTTAGATTGATCAGATAACTCTTTTAGTCAGCTTTACGATACTTTGTCTAAGTTTGGTCAGTATTCTGGTTGTAAAATCAACATCAATAAAACTGAAGCAGTTTGGATTGGATCCAAAAAGGGCTGTCAACAATTAATCTTAGTATTTCTTGGAAAAGAAATCTATTTAAATGTTAAGGAGTGAATCTATCTTTAAATGTTGACTCAATTTTTGAAATAAACTACAAAGATAAATTGAAACAAATGAAACAAACCATTAATTGTTGGTGAATGCGAAATCTTTCTTTGATAGGTAAAGTTTGTGTGATTAAGACTCTTGTACTGCCCCAATTGATATACCTTTTCTCTGCTCTTTGTATTAAAATCCCCAACTCTTTTTTTTCAAAGAGTTGAATCAAATATTTTTCAAGTTCATTTAGAATGGAGGCAGAGACAGAGTTCAGGGAAAGGTCATGTGCAATGATTACAATCAGGCTGGTCTTAGTATGATTGACCCTTTCACCTTCTCTATAGCTCAAAAGATGGTGTGGGTGAGAAATTTACTTGGTGACAATTTTAATGCTCTTTGGAAGGCTATTGAATTATCTTTTTTGAAAAATATAAATGGAGATGTCTTACTCCTATGGAAAGCTCACCCCCTGAGAGTGTTTTGAGGTCGCTGGGTAACATACAGTTATCTGAATCACTATGTTCTTGGTATTTATTTAGAGAAAAGGCTACTATAGAATTTTATGATTCAAAATACTCTGAAATGACTGGATGTCAGCTTCTTTGGTACAACAGATCTATTCGTTCAAAATCTAAGCAATATTTTGATTTCCCATCCTGGTATGATAGAAATGTTTTTACCATTTCTGACTTATTTAACCCACCTCTTCCTGGCAACAAGCTATTTGATGAACTTGCTTTAGATTTCAATATTCCTTTTACAGATAGGAGAAAGTTTAATTTTTTGTTGAAGAATATCCCAAGAGAATAGATGGAGACATTTGATAGTGACATTGTTGGTGTTCATGATACAATAGTTTTTAAATTATTGAGTTTTAAAAAAGTTCCTAAGAACGGTTAGCTTATAACTTGGTCCTCATAGCCCTGATAAGAGATATGCCTACAGGCGCGGATCTACGGGGGGGTTTAGGGGGTTTAAACCCCCCCCCCCCTTGGGCGGCCCCCCCCCCCCCCCAAAAAAAAAGGAAAAAAAAAAAGAAAGAAAAAAAAAGAAAAAAGGAAAGAAAAAAGAACGCACGCTGGAGAGAAACCCTTTCAAGTGCAAATATTGTGAGAAGATATTCAACTCATCTGGTAACTTAACCAAACACATGATAACTCTGGATATAACTGTGTATTTAACTGTTACTTGACTTAAAAAGACGTTATCATGCACTGCTTTTTATGGTCTCCATTGTGTTAATAGATGCCAGGAAAACATCACTTACGGGGTTCAAATAAACACCCCCCAAAAAATCGGTTCGCCGCTTCGCGGCTCGTGGACGATGCTCCGCATCGTCATTATTGGTCAACCCCCCCCCCCCCCCCTTAGCAAAAAGCTAGATCCGCCCCTGGCCTATTGGAATAACAGTTTACCAGTACCTCCTAACACTAACTGGGAAAAGGTCCATAATACAAATTTGTTCTGCCCTATTGATACTAAAATGATATTGTTTGATGCACTATTCCCAATTATCCCCATATAAAGTTTGTAATAAATGTGAAACTGGTGCCTGCCGGGTGCCTGCAGGCCTTCAAAATTCCCCGCAGTCAGGGTGGAAGCACGGCTCGGAGCACGGAACTTCAAAGCCAAGTGGAATGTTACGATAACTCACGAATGCGTTCGAACAAGAGTTTCGACTCCTTTCTTTCACCTCCCTGATTAGACGCTGCAGCCGCACATCCCCGTCCAAACGAAATCTGAGTACATGCACCCCCGGGCGTTCATGCTTTTTAAACACAATGCACTTCGCCACGATAGCAGACGACGTGCGTGCCGATATTACACACAGCTTTGCCACACTTGACTCTCTGAGCTGCGATTGCCGGGTCAACTTTTGCATATGCGTAAGTGAAACATTTTTGAATATTTTACACTTTAAAATTATTTTGACGCATGCAGAAGTATTTTGATAATTAAATTCATGACAATTAGATAAGACTTGTTTTGTGCTAGCAGCTGGTGCACAAGTTTTTTTAAATGATTTCCATCCGATCAGATCGTACCAACTACCATCTCGTACTGCAAACTCCCATAGTCATACTCATATAGTCATTGATTTTATGTACCCAAACATCCAGTGATTCCAGTCCCAAATTGTGTGAAAGTGTTTTGTCATTCACTAACTAATTCTACATTTGTTCAATATTTTGTTGATGATCGTTTTGTTGTTTAATGAGTGATGTCGTTCAAATCATTGCTTTGAAAATCATTAACCATATGAGATGAAGCGAAAGAAAGGGGGAAAAAAGATGAATTCTGAAGAAATAGGACTGCATGGTGCTCTAGCTGCTACGCTACGCAGCAGGACACCTGAAAAAGATAAATTCTGATGAAATCAAGGTAGGTGCTCTGCTGCGTGCTATGCAGATCACCTAATTACAAATGTTAAACGACTGGTTCAGATGTAACTAGACAATTAATTAACCGTCTGGTACGTATGGGTCATTCTGTAATAAAACTCATATTTGTCAACATTCCCCATACACAGACGGTAACCCATATGACTCACATGGGGGGGGGGGGGGGGGGGTGGATTATGCTGATTTTGTACCACTTTTGCTACAAAAAGTTTCTGCCCCAATTTTCTTTATTTAGATCTAATTTTCTCCCTTTTTTGTATTGCTTTTGTGTGTTTGTGTGTTATTGTGGGTTATGCATATACATGGGTTATTTTCTTCTTAATGGTTCTATGTCCCTTTTGCAGGCCAACAAATTAGAAGGTTAAATCAAAAGGCATTTGCAAATAATACTAAATTTTACTAATTTAGAACTTTCCTCAAAACAAAAGGGCTTCAAAATTTCTATTTGCGGTGGGAAAATAATTATTTCATTTTCATTTCGTTTATTTCCATTTCCAACAAAATAAGTAAAGAACATGGGATTGCATTGTACATAGTAAAACAATGAAACTTAACAATATTTGTAATTGGTCCACAGTGTACAACAGGCATATAAAACAGGTTGGTCATGAAGGGGACTGCTGAAAAGCTGGGCTTGTAGATTACAGCAGGCGCGGATCCAGGGGGGGGGCCGAGCGGGCCTTGGCCCCCCCCCCCCCCCCGCAAAAAAAAAAAAAAAAAAAAAAAAGAGAAAAAAGGAAAAGAAGCGAAAGGGAAAGAGGAGAGAAAGGGAAAGAAAGAAGAGGAAGAAGAAAAGAAAAGGGGGAAGAAGGAGATCGGAGGGTCGAAAGGGCTTTGCCTCCCAGGCTGTTGACCCCCCCCCCCCCTCCATAAAACAAATAAGAGAGAAGGAAGGAAAGGGAAAGGAAAAGAGGAGATACTGGCGTACTGATAGGGAGGGGGGGGGGTTAGTGGAAATCAAATTCAAATGTGGTTTATTTCTAATTCCACAACGGTGGATTACAAATAATGCTGAAATTACATCATTTCCGAGATTTTTCCTCACTTTTTAGTAAATTATACGTTTGTATGTGTTTGTTGGAAAATGACCAATTCCTAAATTTGCAGCCAGGCAAGAAATATGATTCTTGAGATTCCTACATGTCAGGGCCCGAGGTACGGTGGGGATCGGGAGCCTCGAGCTCTCCCCCCCCCCCCACACTTTGTTTGAAAAAGTATATTAAAGAGAAATAAAATAGAATGAGAGCAAGAAAGAAAGAATAGTTAACTGCCAGTGTTAACAAATAATGAGGCATCAAAATATGCTCATCTGACCGTAATTAAATGCCTAAAACCCCTAAGCTTCCGTGGGCTCTGCCCCTGGATCCCACCAAGGGCCCTACGGCGGGCCCTTAGATGCTCATCTGACGGTAATTTAATTCCTAAAGCCCCTGATTTTGGGGGGCTCCGCCCCCTGGACCCAACGCCAAATAGTTACCTGCCAGTGTCACGAAATAATAAGGTATACAAAAAAAAAATATGCTCATATGACCTTAATTAAACGCCTAAAACCTCTGAGCTTCCGGGGCCGGCTTCGCCGCCGCCCCAGACAAGGATTAACAATCGAGAACGGTAGCGAATCGTCTTTTTTCTCTCATAATCTTATGAAACGTGAAGCTTCCGCGCTTTGCGCGGGAGGGGAACCTAAATTCAGACAAGGATTCAGAGGCGAGAACGGTTATACCAATCTTTTATGATTTAATAAAACGTAAAAGCTTCCGCGCTTCGCGCGGGATGGAGGGGGGGAACTTAATTCCGACGAGGATTATTTTCGAGAGCGGTACAACGAATCGTCTTCTTTCTCTAATGATTTAATGAAAATTAAAAGCTTCCGCGCTTCGCGCGGGAGGGGGGAACCTGAATTCAGACGAGGATTAAGAGTCGAGAACTGAACAGCAAATCGTCTTTTTTCTCTCATAATCTTATGAAACTTTAAAGCTTGAGCGCTTCGCGCGGGAGGGGGGGGGGGGGGAGGGGAACTGAATTCAGACGAGGATTAAGATTCGAGAACGGTACAACGAATTGCCTTCTTTCATATAGTTTAATGAAACGTCAAAGCTTCCGCGCTTCGCGCAGGAGGGGGAGAGGGAGGGGGGAACTGAATCTAGACAAGGATTAAGAGTCGAGAACGGTACAACGAATCGCCTTCTTTCTTCAATAGTTTAATGAAACGTCAAAGCTTCCGCGAATCGCGCAGGAGGGGGAGGGGGTAAACTAAATTCAGACGAGGATTAAGAGTCGAGAACTGTACAACGAATCGTCTTGTTTCTCTAATGATTTAATGAAACATAAAAGCTTCCGCGCTTCGCGCGGGAGGGGGGAGAATCGAAATTCAGACGAGGATTAAGAGTCGAGAACTGTTCAGCCAATCGTCTTCTTTCTCTCATAATCTTATGAAACTTAAAAGCTTCCGCGCTTCGCGCGAGAGGGGGGGGGACCTGAATTCAGACGAGGATTAAGAGTCGAGAACTGTACAGCGAATCGTCTTCTTTCTCTAATAATTTAATGAAACGTAAAAGCTTCCGCGCTTCGCGCGGAGGGGGGGGGGGGGGGGGAGGGAACTGAATTCAGACGAGGATTAAGATTCGAGAACGGTACAACGAATTGCCTTCTTTCATATAGTTTAATGAAACGTCAAAGCTTCCGCGCTTCGCGCAGGAGGGGGAGAGGGAGGGGGGAACTGAATCTAGACAAGGATTAAGAGTCGAGAACGGTACAACGAATCGTCTTCTTTCTCTAATGATTTAATGAATCGTAAAAGCTTCTGCGCTTCGCGCGGGAGGGGGGGGGAAAATCTAAATTCAGACGAGGATTATTTTCGAAAACGGTACAACGAATCGTTTTTTTTCTCTAATGATTTAAGGAAACTTAAAAGAGGGGAACCTGAATTCAGACGAGAATTTAGAGTCGAGAACTCTACAACGAATCGTCTTCTTTCTCTAATAATTTAATAAATCCTAAAATTTTCCGCGCGTCGCGCGAGAGGGGAAAAACTAAATTCAGACTAGAATTATTTTCGAAAACTGTACAATGAATCGTTTTCTTTCTCTAATAATTTAATAAATCCTAAAATTTTCCGCGCTTCGCGCAGGAGGGGAAAAACTAAATTCAGACGAGAATTATTTTCGAGAACTGTACAAAGAATCGTTTTGTTTCTCTAATGATTTAATGAAACGTAAAAGCTTCCGCGCTTCGCGCGGGAGGGGGGGGGGGGGAGAATCTAAATTCAGACGAGGATTATTTTCGAAAACGGTACAACGAATCGTTTTGTTTCTCTAATGATTTAATGAAACGTAAAAGCTTCCGCGCTTCGCGCGGGAGGGGGGGAGAATCTAAATTCAGACGAGGATTATTTTCGAAAACGGTACAACGAATCGTTTTGTTTCTCTAATGATTTAAGGAAACTTAAAAGCTTCCGCGCTTCGCGCGATAGGGGGGGAACATGAATTCAGACGAGAATTTAGAGTTGAGAACTCTACAACGAATCGTTTTCTTTCTCTAATAATTTAATAAATCCTAAAATTTTCCGCGCTTCGCGCGAGAGGGCAAAAACTAAATTCAGACGAGATTTATTTTCGAGAACGGTACAACGAACCGTCTTCTTTTTCTAATAATTAAATGAAACGTCAAAGCTTCCGCGTTTCGCGGAGGAGGGAGGGGGAAATTCGCCCCTCCCTGCACCGGCCCCCCCCCCCGCATCACGTCACTGTTGGTCACCATTACGTATCAATATTTGGCTCGCATAATTTCAAATTTGGGCCCCCCCCCCTAAGAAATCCTGGATCCGCGCCTGGATTACAGCCCCCTATAACTTATAGTTGCAAAAATAGTATATCAATAATAAAGGAACGCACAAATACATAAACCAATTAAACATAACATAGAAGGAGTGAAATGGACAGGGAAAGACTGGAGACAACAAGAGAGGGCAGGGCTCTTACCTACACCTGTATAACACACACAACACAACACGGACCGACTGGAATACGGATGGCCAGTACAAAATGAATCAAAATATCCAAATGTATTTTATTGAGTTAAATAAATTTAAAGAGGGAGAGCTAACGCTTGATAATTACGCAGAAAAGATTTTTTTAAATTTGAATTTAAAAGAATTTAAACTGGGGGCATTCTTGATGCTAACATCAAGAATGGTCCATAGCTTCGGGCCTGCGTAAGTGAATATGGATTTAGCAAGTAAAGTTCTAGTTATATAATGGCAGATGAAATTCGTCAGATTGGCACGTAGGGTATTTGTGTATAGTTTTATTTTTGATGAATATAAAATTGAAGGCTGAGGGTAGCGTATTATTATTTAACTGGTACATAAACTGAGCGAGGCTATTACGATATAAATCATTTATTTTCAACACATTATTTTCAAGAAATAAAACATCAGTATGAGATCTCCAGGAAGTGTTACAAATAACACGCATAGCTTTTTT